TTGGAACTGGATGATCTTTAAGGTCCCTTCCAACCCAAACCGTTCTATGATTCTATGAACTTGTTCAGATATTCTCAGACATGATTAAATTGTACTGTTATCTGAAAATATTTGACCTTTTCATTTTCATGATTTGTAAGGGGAGAAAACAATTCTTTGCAACATGAATTGATAAAATTGGCTTTCTTTCCTCGTTAGAACCGGTATTAGACAAACAAATGTGAGTACACATGTAGATAGATGAATGCATAAGAGAGACTTGTGCTCAAATCCTTGCATTCGACCATTTGATTCCCATGGCAGTGCTGTGGCCTTTGGGCCACGGGATTTCTATTACTGCTGTCCTAACCTAGTCCAATATAATGTATTTGTAGAACATGAACAACTTTAACTGCTTCCTAGAAAAGAGTTTCTGTATTACAGTAGTGAAAGTATTTTTATCAAACTGAAGATGTTGAAGCTAGGCCTGTCCCATTTCAGTTAAATGTTCTCATTACTACCTGTTGTCAAGTCTCATGCACAGAGCTGAAGGTATGTTCTGGTCCTCAGAAATTCTCATGACAATATTTGACAAGAAAATCTACTTTATCTAGAAAGTTGATTTTGATAAGTGACATTTTTATCCTTTTTTAGTTTTGTCACAGCATTTCTTTGTTGTCATCAGCCTTTTTTGTTTATTTTCTTTCCAAAAACCATCCCGAGTTTATTTGTTATTCTTCCTTCTGACTTCAGAAGGCATAATCCATCTCAAATCATAGATACCATTCCATGTACTGCCCACTGATTCCTGTCTGGATGTCAGTAAATTTGTCCAGTTGCTTTCTCTTTCAGGTAGCAAGCTAGCAGGCAGTGTCCTCACAGTAGCGTAATAAATGTCACTATTGCCTTATGCATACTCATTAATTTTTCCTCTTAGATTATAAGATTTCTAAATATTATAGACCTCAGAAACCATAACACAGCCCTGTAAACCTTACACAACCATCAAAATTTACAGTTTTGTCATTCCTAATACTGATGCAAGTTCTGTAGTAGTCCACTTTTCACTATCATATCCCAACCTCTTGCTTGCATTTTGCAAAATTGATAAGGGTATCAATTAGCATATAGCAAATCAATGATTCTGGTTAACTTCAGTTATTTCTGTAGTCTTCCTTCTTTTAGTGCCTATGTTTTTTAAAATGCTTCTTTCTTTATATAAAGTTGATTTTGTTCAAATATGGTGTCCAGCAGTAGGATACCCCCATGCCTGTACATGATGCATTCTGACTTTTATGTTAGCAGTTTCAAACTTGATTTTGTGACCAGAAATTTCAGGTTACTTCCAGATAGTCCTGTTTTAACATGCGAGAAACATAAAGCTGTAACTCTGGAAAAGGAGTTTCAAGAACCGTTCATAAAGCAAGAAAATATATTAAAAAAAAAAAAGTTTTCCAGTGCTGAAAAAGGCATTTATGTCCTGTGCATTATAGGTCTTTGACTATGACTTTGGATTTCAAGATGACTTCATTGGTTCAGCATTTTTGGATCTCACTTCCTTGGAATTAAACAGGTATGGCACATGTAAGCCTACAGAGTAGTTCTTCATTGCTGTCTGCTAATACTCTGTGTTTGTGGAATTGAACATAGCACATTGTGTAGGAAAATTATTATGTAAACCTAACCACATAAAACTAGCCAAGGAAAGACACTCATGTTTAGGGAATTGCTGTGATATGAATGTTAATAATATATGAACTGATCATGCACAGCATTTTTTAAAGTGTTTTATAGACACTTTAATCTTGTTTGTGTTATTTTCATTCACAGCATTACAACCTACTGTTTAATGGGCGTGTTTTTCAGTTTTTTAATCCATTAATGTTACAGTTCAGGTTTAATTGCTTCAGTACGTGTAAGTACTTAACATGAAGTAACAGTATTTTGTGGTTTTTAATGAGTGTTTAGATTGCAGTGCTTAAGAGTGGAAATAGGGTAAATTTGTGACACCATTTTCAAGTAGTCTTATGTAAATGCAGATGCCTTTAATTGTCGTGATTCAGGAATTTCATTATCTGAGAGCCTGAAATCAAAACACACGCATATGTTTTTGTCTCCTAGGCAAACAGATGTTACCTTGAGTCTGAAGGATCCTCATTACCCCGACCATGATCTGGGAAGTATATTGTTAGCAGTTCGGTTGGCTCCTAGAGATGAACAGCAAGACATGGTAATTTTAAATATTTTAATATGTCATCACTCTTGTGATTGTTCTATGGCTTGATGACTTAAAGCATCAGTGTAAGACACATTCTGAGATTAATTTGATTTTCCCTGTTCTCAAAATAACACTGAAGAGTGTTTCTGGTACAGTACAGCATACTTCATCTGAATTGGATCCTCTCTGAGATAAGTACTGAGGGATCCAAGTGGAACATAAATGTTCAGCAGTTTCAGATAGTCAGCTGCATGTGTATGGTGCTGATTAATGGGGAAAAGTATCAATAAATTACTGGTGAGGAATTCTGGACTGACTGCTGGCATCTCTAAATAAGAACGTTTGAATCCTATTCCACACTGAAAATAATCTTGAAGAAAGGTAGTATTTCTGCTTTTTGGTATCTGATGATGAAACATTATTTGATATTTTTCAATTTCATGACCAGATTTCAATTACAAAGTAGCATGGTTTTCTGGGTTTATTGTAATTCCTTCATCAGTCTTAGTTTTCTGAGCTGCTAAGTTCTAAGTGACAATAGTTTCCAGTTTCATAGTTGTGACAAATTCCATCTCTAGTTGCATGTGTTTTATGAGCTTTATGTCAGTTGACTTCTGACTTAAGCAGTAGTACTGCAACTACACTGGAAATAAGTGAGATGGCATCTTGCTCAGAGGCTGTAAAATAATGTGGATCCTTTTGTCTTCAGCGAGGCCAAGAAACAAAAGTATCAATCTGATTATATTTTCCATGGATAGGGTTGACTGTGATTTTTCTAAGAGCCCATCTGTTTCTGCATGCTGCAGTGTGACACATCATCCTGTTGAATATCTGAGGAGGACTGAGTTGTAATACTCTTCTGTTTCCACTTTTCTCCTAAGTCAGTTATTGGAACTAGGTGTTTGGCATTTGGTGTAACAGAGATGTAGAGTTTTGAAAATAGCCTTCTCCTCTGTTAATTTTCCTCATGACATTCTGTTAGAACTTTACTACTATTTCCCATTATTGTTGTTATGTGCAGGAAGTTCATTTAAACTGTATTTTCCTTTGTTTTCGCAACGCGTTTGTGCAGACAGCTCAGAATACTGTGTTGTGAATTTGCACCACAAAAGTTGGTTTATCCCTTACACTGAAAAATGTACTTAATTCCTTTTTTTTTTTAAATGTCTGTATTTGGGTTAGACCAGTATTTCTGAGTCAGGTGGTAATAACCCTATTTTTCAGTGGCTTTGGCATTATCCTGCCATATTCCAAAGTCATGCAGCACATAAATGCTGTATCTTTATGGGGCAGCACGTTACTTTTCTTTTTTCGTGGTACAGACATGATAGTGTGCGGCTCAGTGTGGTCAGTTGTTACGTGAAGGACACTCAAGGAAGTCACAGGTGAGACAGTGAAATTAAGACACCACAGCGTAACATGTCATTCGTAGGGGTATTTCCTTGGTGAGTTCGCCACTGAACATCAGAAGTAATGGGAGCACCACAGATTTCCTGGATAGCGACCCTTTTGATACCCAACTGAGTGGTGGTAATAGAAGGAAGAACTAGACTTGTGCTATTATGCATTTCGTTATTAACTTTCTGTTTAGTAAGCTAATCCTTTGGTTTAGCTCAGGTGACCTATTTTTCTTCCCATTCAGACTGTGATACAGGACTTAATTCTGAAAATGCTCAAGTTTCAGATTAAGATTTTGATTCCTAACCTGAAGCTTTGCAATTAGTATTGGAAACCAGTCTTCCCAAGATACGTATCTTGGAGCAGTTTTAAGAAAGTTGCAGTAAAATCAGAGTATTTGTGTTACCATGCAGGGAAGATGGCCTACAAAATTAATGTTGAATTGTTGTATGTGAATGTTTTAGGGGTTTAATAATTCAAGGCACAATTATTCTTTCTTCAGCTGCCATGTGTACTTATTTCTTTATTTATTAGCTTTTATTTACTCTCCAAGGAGTAGTTTTATTAAATAAAAATGCTGCAATTAAACTGTCATCCTTGGTTATTTTTAAAAGATCTTGTAGTAATGAGGATAATTTTTATTGAATTTAATATGTTTGAGATAAATATATTTTCAAATGTTATTTTAGAGGTTTGTGGCTAATTCTTGTTCACTGTGGCAATGTGCATCGTATAAAGTAGTAATTAAAGCAGCTCCTACATTCCCAATTTGAGTAGTGTGCTGTTTGAATGATTACTGCTTCCCTCCTACTTGGATATCTCTGAACAGTGTTGTTGAAAAATATAGATAAAAAGGTGTGTGAGCACCTTTAAATATGCTTTAGAAACATAAGACTCAGAAACACTGCTCTTCATTTTTTTCCTAAGTAATTCCAAATTTTCTTAAATGCTGTTGTTTTGATATCCCTAAATAGTTTACATTTCAAAAATACATTTTGTTCTGAGTTAAATTTTAATTTGTTTAGGTGATAACTCTAAATCGCTTGCACATCTTGTCACATGTGAACAGTATAAAATGGTTAAACCATCGACCTGAAGGATTCGGAAATTATCTAATAGTACTTAAATTTCAGGTACTTTAATTCCACATACCTAAAATGAGAGTGTTTATTAAGACCTTTAGGGAATTAAAATAGCTTTCCCATGTAGCTGTAGAGGGAGCATTGTGTCTGATGCTGTTATTTTGTGCAGCTCCATAGCCATAACCCAGACCCAGCCCTGTGGAATGAAACTTGCTCTCTATGCTGATGTGTTTGGTAATTTTTTAATGCAGATTAGCCTTTCCAAGGAGATCCCTTCGCTGCCTCACCTGGAGCGGCTGAGAGTGTGTTGGAGGTCACGCACTGACGTGCAGGTAGAAGGATAGTCATGTGACAGTGCATTTGAGTAGCTAGAGGACAGTCTTGGCAGCAATGCGTTCTGTTGGCATGTCAAAGGAATGCCACGGTATGTTACAGGAAGAGGCACCCTGTCACACTGCACAGGAAATACTGATACAGCTGGAGAATGAGATGCTCCAGTTGAAAGTTTCAAGTTAAATGGTACAAAATCGGGGCCTTGTATATTGCCGCCTGTCTGAGAGAGAGGTATTTTTACAAATGGGTTAAAAAAACCAAGCAATGTGTTTGAAAGAGAAATAGTTTACTTCGGTTTGGGTGGAACAATCTTTTGTGAAGCCTTGAAGTGTGCAAAGAGATTAGAGGGAGATTTGGTACGCAGCAGAGTATTCTCTTCCTTATCTTTCTGAAAGAAATTCTGATGAAATGCAGATTCTCTGCGTGCTGGCAGATGAGATGTTCTTCAGAATTCATAGCTGGAAGGTCCCGTTTCCTAGGATCAAACAGATTACATCTTTAGATGCAGATATCAATTAAGAACATTAACACATGCATATATGCATGTAACTGTATATAAAATTGTATTACAAACAGGAGAGGAGGGAGTATTTATCTTTGAGTCCTGGTGGACTGTGAAAAACAGTGCTTAAGTAGTTCAAAATTTGTCAGTTTCTGATGGAAGAGTGTCAGACATGGTTTCAGTGGCAGGAGGTTCAGTATACTATTTCATTAATAAGAACACAGTATTTGATTTTTGAAGTACATTTTCTTGGAAGAAAATGCAGAAGTAGCCTGCAGTTATTGAATATTAACATGTGAATGTTGGCAAGTGAAAAAATCAAAATTTATAGCAGATCTTGTAAGTAAGTATCTTTGTGTTTGGTAACCTAGTGCTTGTTCTAAAGGCATAATACTGTGACCTTTTAAAGTGACAGTCTTGTAATACTTCATTCAAACTATGTACATCGACAGGAGTCCTGTGCTTTTTGAGTTTTGATAAATGAAGACAACCTGATTTGTTCTGATTTTTGAACAATCATAAATTGTGAATCAGAAGTGATGAATGTAAGGAATTATAAAAAATGAGAATGTCTTGAGTGTTTTTTGAAAAGTATAATATTTTTCCAGCCTAACACGATGAAGCTGTAGTAGTACTAGTTCCAGTGGCTCATTTAAACTTGCCCTGTGCTGTTAACAATAGTTGTCCTTCACAATGATGCAGCGTTTTTATTTATTCTGCTCTGTGAGGACAGGTAGCATAGATAACTACTGTAAACAAAGAGGTCGTGAAAAAAACATAAGAGTATGGGAAAACTATGAATATACATATATATAAATGTTAGAACCTGTGAGCTCTAAAAAAATGTTATCCTTTTTAACTCTTAAAAAGAGAATGGGTTAATGATGTACTTTGTGTATATTTCATTGATTTCTCTATTTGATGACCAGTTTCAAGGAAGTCAGAACTTGCAATGACTTGATTTTTTTGTTAGACCTGCTGCAGTGGATCTTGTTTTGTTCCTTTAATTCAGGCTGTTCTATTAACATTTCCCTTTGGATGCATGTAGTCCTGTGCATGCCTGTGTGCCATTTGTAGTTAGGTGCATGGCGACCAGAAACATGTACGTGGTGTCCGCAGACCCTGTGTTTGGTGTTGTGATCATCGGTGCTGCAGTGCATGTGCCTTTTTCTGGCTCTTTCTGCAGCACAGTTCAGGGCACAGATTTCATCATGGCAGCATGACTTCCCTACAACAGTTCTTTTCAACCCTGGTCTTGCAGGCAACTCTTGGCTACTGGACATTAGAAAGCTGGTAGCTTGATGAGAATTGCTGCCTTGGGGCCAGCAGAGATTGGGGATGACTATTCCACCACTGGCAATGGCCTGAGTGGCATAGAAAATGGGAAAAGGGAAACATATGAGTGCTACTTGGATGTTGTTATTTAATGAGAATAAAATTTAAGGCATTGTTTTTTTCCCTAAAAAATTTATCCCAAATGATGCTTTAATATCTTTTTGCTCCTTATGGAAATATTAACATTAATATGCTGTCAATTTGCTTGCTATCTTAAATCTTACAATGCAATATTATTACTTTTTATTTGCCAGAGGAAAAGAATAACAGAGATTGGACTCAGGGCATGGAGTATTTTCAGATGAAAAAGTTCCATGTACATCATCCATCCTAATCAGCCCTGTGCTATATATTCTGTTGGCTTCTAAGAGTTGTTATGATGGCTTCATCTTACCCTCCTGCACCTGGTGATGATGATGATGCACTCAACAAGTACGGTCATTACATTTCTGTAGCTGCTATGCAAACTGAACTCCTCAGAGTTGAAATAATACTTGATACGTAGTTAATTCAGCTGGTGTGCTGTATTCTCCTCCTTGTTCACAGCGTGGTCCAAGCCCAATGAAGCGGAGCTTGTTCTCTGACCTGTAGCTGTGTAACTTTCAGCAGCGAGAAGGAAGGGAAGAGCTGTGGTGCGCTGCAGGAACCCGTGGGTCTTCTCCAGGGACTGCTCTGGCCTCCAAGCTGCTTAATTCTTATGCGTATCTCCTATAAAAATTAGTTAAATGGCTTCCTCCAGCTTCTAAAAACAGTTGCTGTCTATGTATATTTGCCAAAGGCACATTATTAAAATTATCATTAACTTTTGGCACAGCCCTTTAGGGGTTGCTGTCCATAGCAACTTGAGAATGTTCATCACCAGCAGGTTGTTTTTCTTCTCCCAACAAAGCATCTATTTGAAAACTTGCCAGATAGTTTAAAAAAAAATATAGAAAATGTATTTCCTTTAATTTTCTTTTTTTCCCCATGTAATACTTCTGTTACTTAGCAAATAAAATGTTTGCATTTCAAAATTCATTTCAGTTATCAGAAAAAGAAAGTGGTTTTCCAGTAGTTAATAGAAAAAAAAAAAACCCAGAACTTTATGTTTGCTTTCCATGACTTACAGAAAGTTTCAATAGAAATTAGTGGACTTTGATTTATTGTCGCTCTGTGTCAACACAGGCTGCTAAATGTTAATGAATTCTGCAAATTAATTTCTCTGTGTTTCTGTAGGACTGCTTTAAGCAACAGTTGTGTCACAGATAAATTTTCTTCACTGTCTTGGCCAATATGTTACTGTAATGATTAAGAATATGTATCTGTGGACACTTTGCCTCCCAGCATGTCAGAGCACTGTCTCTAGTAGTGCCAAGGTTTTGCAGATTATTTACGTGATGGGATAGGGCTACTGCATTTTGGGTTGTTTTTGAGTTGAGGTATGAATTTTATTCTATGCCCTGTGTGTCATTATCAAACAAAAGAGCTTTTTTTACTGCTTTGAAACTAATCAGCAGTGTTGACCTTCAAGGGTCTGTAACAGATGTATGTTGTCCAAGGAGCCTTACGCAGGATTTTTTTTAACGTGGCTACACTCAGGAGCTAAACAGTAGTGTTCCGAAAAATTGGGAGTGCATTAATATAAAACCCCCTATCATTCAAGAATCTGTCAAAACGGAAGTCACTATCAGTAATGCCACATCATTTTTTTTATCTGCTTATCTAATTATTTCTTTCCTTCTTTCTTTCTTTTTTTAATGATTTCACATGATGCATTGTCTCCAGAAATGAGACTTTCACCCCACCCAGAAAAGCGTGCCTGTGTGTTGACGGCGCTGCTAGTTGTCTGGATTTATTTCTGTCTTGTGTAGTTGTTGCTGGAGTGTACGTGTTGCTGCTTCACTCGTAGTGGTGGTAAAATGTGGATTGTCCCGTTGGAGACAGTTGGCCTCCTTTTCTGTATTGCAGAGAAAAGGTAATTAAAATGCTCTATTTTATTTTCAGACAATGCTAATGAGGAAGAGTTGGAAAAGATCAAGTAAGGTAACTTTTAGCATGTGGTCTTCTGGTGCTTTTTTTGTAGACCTATGATGTTTTACCAAACATGCCATCAAGGACTGGAATCTTGTGTCACAGGATTTATTCTCTTTCAAATTGTGTTTTAATGACATTGTTTTGTGTTCCATCAAATCAAAATCATGAAACAGTTGAGCTATTAATGTAGTCCTTGAACCTCTCAACGTCGTTACATCATTTTAGCGTCTCTTGAAGTCATCTAGTAACTACATGCAAGTGGCAAACGTGTCCTGATTCTTTTTCTAAAACCTTTAATTTCTCATGTATACACAGTTTTCTTAAGCTTACTTGTTAATGTCAACAGAGAATTCATGCCAAAGGGTGACTTTTATATTTCTGCTATATTCCTCATATAGATTAGAGTGTTTCTGTGTGGAAGTTTTCACAGTGATGTTTCTCAAAGAGGAATTTCCCTCGTTGCTGGATGTGCAGAGTTGTAGCCAGACTTTCCAAGAGTGGAGTGCTTAAGGAATCATTCTTGGTCTCCACTTTATACAGCTCTTTAGATGCCTCTTCAGGCAAATTCAGTGTCTGGATTTTCTCCTTTTGGGAGCCATGTGAGTGATCAAAAATGACAAGTGTATGATTTTTCCCACTAGGAAAAGACTGGGAGTTTGACTGTAGTGGGATGTGGTTAATATTTACCTTTTTGTTGTATTTGACTTCAAAAAGATAAAGGAAATATGATTCTATGATTCTATGAAATGTGCATGTTTTCTCAGCAGGTTTCTGGCCACTCTAAGCTCATGCTGTCATGCTGCTTTTTAGTTTTAAGTCTTTTTTCTAATTGCATAATTAAAAATAGCATTAAAATTTCTCAAAGTCTTGAGCTGCTTTGGTAGACCTGGGTTTTTCTGAGATCTGATTGTGTAAAGGTATTAAAATGAGAAAAATTAAATGGCTGTAGGGAGAGATTTCCATTATTTTGTGGAGCGATGTACTTTTCTAGCATATTGATGCACAGATTTCAATGGAAGTTTATTACTAAACAGTGCCATATATAGGTCTTGATGTCAAGTGTTTGCACAGTACTTCAACCTTAAGAAAAAAGAGCAGGGTTCATAATTTTTGGGTTATGCATGGTTTTTTTCACATGGTTTGCTTCTGTAATATAGGACAGTACTCAGTCTGTGTTTCCTTTTTGTAATCTGTGAAGTAAAGGTACTTGAAGTGATAATAACAATAATATTAGAGTTAACTAACAATTAATTATTAAATAGATTATTTTTATTTTTATATTATTACTTTGATTCTCATATGGTTCATGTATGT